GGTGGTTGTATATTTTAGTTATAATTTTGATATCATTGTGTGAAGAAGAGAGAGCAATGTCTGCCTACATCGCCATCTTGACCTGAAGCCTCTGTGTGTGTTTTTCAATCTGAGGTGGGTCTCTCGGAAGCAGAATATATATGGGTCTTGATGTGTTCTCATCCATTCAACAACCTTATGTGTTTTGATTGGAGCATTTAAGTCATTTATATTTAAGGTGATTATTGCTACATAATGTGTTCAGTGCCATTTTATTGTTAGACTATTTTCCTCTGTTTATTTCTTCTTTTTTTCTTCTTTCTTCTTAAAGCTAGCTCTTTAACATTTGTCACAGTACTGGTTTGGTGTTAACAAAGTCCTTTAGCTTTTTCTTGTCTGGGAAGCTCCTTATTTCTCCTTCAATTTGAAGTGATAGCCTTGCTGGGTAAAATAGCTTGATTGTAGTTCCTTGCTTTTCATCACCTTGAATATTTCATACCACACCCTTCTGGCCTGAAATGTTTCTGTTGAGAAGTCAGACACCAGTCTAATAGGTGCTCCCTTGTATGTAACTACCTGCTTTTCTTTTGCAGCTTTTAGGATCCTCTCATTGTCTTTAAGCCTTGTCGTTTTTATTATGATGTGTCTCGGTGTATGACTCTTTGGGTTCAACTTGTTTGGGATTCTCTGAGCTTCCTGAACTTGTGTATTTTGTTCCTTCACCAGATTAGGGAAGTTTTTGGTCATTATTTCTTTAAATAGGTTCTTAATCCCCTGCTCACTCTCCTCTCCTGATATTCCCATGATGCAGATGTTGTTATGCTTCTGTCCAAAATATTTAAGTTCTCCTCATTTTTTTAAGTTCTTTTTTGATTTTTGCTGTTCTGTCTTTGTGTATTTTTCTATCTTGTCTTCCAAATCACTGATTTGATCCTCTGCTTCATAAAACCTACCATTTATTTCTGCCAGTGTATTATTTATTTCCAAAATTATATTCTTTATTTTGACTGGTCCTTTTATGGTTTCTATGTCTTTTTTCATGCTGGTGAGTATCCTTATGATCATTATTCTAAACTCTATCTGATAAATTGCTTGTGTCCATTTCATCTAGTTCTTCTGGAGAATTCTCTTGTTCTTTCATTTGGGGTCTGTCTCTTTGTCTTCCCATTTTGGCTGCTTCTTTGCAATTTTTGCCTTAGTTGTTAAACTTATCAGTGATATAGTCTCAACCTGTAATCAGTAGACCACTTAAGTGTCACAGGGTAGGGCAGAGTAATTCTTGCCAGTGAGGCGATGCCACTTGGAGATGAGTGCTCTGCCTGACAAACATGGCTTCTGCAGTATGGGGAATGACTGAGGACAGGGATCCTGGTATCTGTCCCTTAAGTTCTCTCCCCAGAGCCACCAACCCCAGACTCTTCTCAAGCATCTCTAGTCCACTCTGCCTTCCTTTGGTCAGAGCCCAGGGTAAGTGGCTGTAAGCAAAATTTTGTGCGTTGGCCCTTTAAGAGGCTCTCTATGTGTCCAGTTGTCTCTCCCTGGTGGACAGAAACCCTGTTGCTTTTCACAGCTGAATGTTATCTGCGTTCCATCCCAGCTCTGGTGCTGTAAGCTGGGGAGGCTAGTTTGGGATTTAGACCCCACATTTCTCATAGGGAACCCTCCAACCATTAAAGTATCCCTCCAGAACTTCAGCTGCTGCATGTGGGAGGCCAGCCCCTGCTCTTGCACCTCCACCACACTCCCTTACACTCTTGTTTGGTGAAGTGGTTTCTTCTGTCTGTCCTTGGTTATAAGGCTTCTTTTCAGCTAGTGTTCAATTGATTATTCAGGACTATTTCTCCACAATTTAGTTGTGATTCCAGATTGGTCCTGGGAGGATAGTGTAGTTTCCACTTACTCTTCTGTCATCTTGGATCCTGTATGAAATATTTTAAAAAGCTTTTTTTGAAGCTGTGTTTTATTTTAATTCTTAAAATATATAACTATAATACCAGTTTAATATTTTTAAGGAAAACTGAGTAAACTTTTAAAAAAATTAGGCATTCTACTTGGTATCCTTTTTACTGTTGGAAGCCATTTAGTGTTGTAACTGCCTTGGTTCAACCAATTCTCTTCTCTGTCCTTCCCTGCCTCAAGAGAGGAAATACTTGCCTGCCTCCTAGAATAGCTGTGAAGTAAGGAAATAAGTGCCTACAAATATGGTACTGTTTATTTTTATTGTCCTGTTTTAGATTAAAGTTCTGCAAAAACATGGTGCCTAGTATATGAGAAATGAGATTTAATAGTTTTAATATTGGATGTGGTAAATTAACTAGACAATTTAAGAATATGCTTCAGTGAATGGTACCCAAGTCTCTTTATAAAAAAACAATGCTGATTTGTGGAAAAGGGTTGTATATTGGGCTATAAGGGCATCAACATATGGACTGTTATAAAGATATGGTTACCCCTTTTAAAATATATATATATTTTATTGATATGCTACAGTTGTCCCAGTTTTTCCCCCATTGTCTCCCTCCACATCATACCCCGCTTCCCTCCAGCAATCCATCCCTTAGTTCATGTCCATTGGGCATGCATGTAAGTTCTTCACCTTTTCTTTGGCCTCCAGTATCTCCAAGTAACATTCAATATGATGCAAAGTCAGAGAGCGCTGCCGGGTTATATTGCTATCTTTTTCCAAAGGCCACCAAGACAAATTGGGCAGGTTGTATACTGCTGAAGGGTACTTGGCTAAGCAGGCAAGTGAGCAATAAATACAGTTTATGTTCTCTTGTTACCCACAAAGAAGAGAGTCAACAAGCAAACTCCTGTTTTTACCAGAGGACAAATAGATTTATGTTGTAAAATGCATAAGCTAGGCAAAAGTCCTTATAGAGTTTTATACTTTTTGTTGAAACACCTGGGTTTAAGACTTTGAAGTTGTCAGGGAAAACATTTTCTGTAGTTGAGCTGAAAGGCTTGAGGATTTACCTTTTCATAGATCTATATAGCAGATGTATAGGGTGGGGCAAAAGTAGGTGATTCCTTTTGGGTATTTGTGAGTATGCAAAAGAGCTTATTCTTGTATTATTATTTATTAATTATTGTATTATTTTTCCATATGAGTAACAGTAAACCTACTTTTGCCTCACCTTGCTAAGGGAGCTCAGAACACTCTGTGGGGAGAGGATACTTTGGATAACCATGAGCTGAAGAATGAAATTGGAACCTTATCTGATACCACAAAAATGAACTCATAATGGATAAAAGAGTTAAACATAATGTCCCCAACTGTAAAACTTCTACAAGAAACCATAGAGAAAAAACTTTTTGACACAGATCTCAGAAGCAATTTCTGGATATGACACCACAAGCAGAAGCAACAAGAGCAAACATAAAGAAGTGAGGCCACATCAAACTGAAAGCCTTCTGCACAGCAAAAGAAACCCCCAGCAGAGTGAATGGGAGAAATATTTGCAAACTGTATATTTGATAAGGGGTTAAGACCAAATATATATATATATATATATATATATAAAGAACTCATAGGAATCAACAGCAATAACACCCAAACAGCCCAATTAAAAAATAAGTAGTCCCTCTAAATATTCAGGACAATTGAATAAACAGTTTTCCAAAAAGACAAGCAAATGGCCAACAGGTACATGAAAAAGTGCTCAAAATCACTAATTATCAGGAAAATGCAAATCAGACTATAATGAGCTGTCAGTTCACATCTGTCACAATGGCACCATCAAAAAGATGAGATACCAAGTTTGGCAAAGGTGTGGAGAAAAGGGAACCCTTGTGTACTGTTGGTGGGAATATAAATTGATATAGTCTCTATGAAACAGTATGAAGGCTTCTCAAAAAATTAAAAATATAAATACCATATGATACAGCAGTGCCACTCTGGGTACATAGCAAAAAGAAATAAAAACAGGCTACCAAACAGATACCTGCAATCCCTTGTTCATTGCAGCATTATTTTTAAATTGAATTTATTTGAGTAACATTGATTAATAACATAATTTTCAGGTGTAAAATTCTATAATACATCATTTGTATAGTACATCATGTACTCACCACCCAAGTACTAGTTTCCTTCCATCACTATATATATATCATCCCCTTTACCCTCTTCATCCTCCCCCCAGCCCCATTCCTTTTTGGTAACCACCATACTATCTTCTGTGTCTATGAGTTTGTTTTGTGTGTTGCTTTCAGTCTTATATCCCATGTGAATGAAATCATATGGTTTTTGTTCTTTTCTGTCCTATTTATTTCACTTAGTATGATACTCTCAAGATCCATCCATATTGTTGCAAATGACAATATTTCTTAATTTTTTTATGGTTAAGAAGTATTCCATTACATATAGTAATATAATTTTCTTTAATTATTTTCTACAGACTAAATTCCTTTCTAGCTTAATAATGATTTTTATTAAGTTGTTTAGTCCCTTAAAGGAAATAAAATGCAATTGATTAAAAACTTGCCTTTTTTCTACCAATATGGTGTTACTGTTAGGATATTATTAGAAAAGTAATGGAAGTAAGAAGTTAGAAGTAAGCTACACTCATAAAACTAGAAAAAATTATTCCCAACTGTTTTTTTATGGTCTTGACTAGAAAAAAAGATATTACATTATGTGTTGTCCTTTCTCTAACCCTGCTTTTTCACACCTCACTTTACAGATCATTTTTAGGATCAATTTAAATGCTCCCACTACCATTTCTTTGCTCATAGCATTTTGCCACTGATCTTTGTCCCATGGGGAAGGTTTGTGGTGCAAAGGAGTAGAACTACACATTGTCGGCACCACAGTGCTACCTGACTCTCTTTGAAACCAGAAATGAACAGGCAGGCATAATTGTTGCCTAAATGAACAGCGAGTGCTATTAAATTTTGCCTTCTATTTAGACCAGGAATATTTTTAATACCTAAAGATAAATACAAATAGTAGCATTTGGGGTGTTTTACCAACGCTGTTTTGAATAAGCCTTCTCTTCTCTTCACTTGTCATCTTTCTCTAGAAATCATTTGGTGATCTCTCAAAAAGATTTGAAATAAAGCACCGCCTTCAATGTAAAAATTTTACATGGTATCTGAACAATATTTACCCAGAAGCATATGTGCCAGACCTTAGTCCTGTTATATCTGGATATGTGAGTATTTTTCTCTTCTTTATTTGGTATACTCCTTGCCACCAACATGTGGTTCAGGGAAAATTGCTGAAATACTTTCTGGTTGTTTTCTTTTGAGATTTTGCAATGTTATTATTTACAGTACTTCTTGAAATCAATTGAAGAAATATATAAGCCACATAGACTTAAAAAAATATAACTTGAAAATTTTTCTTTAGATTAAAAGCTCTGGTCAGCCTTTATGTCTGGATGTTGGAGAAAATAATCAAGGAGGCAAGCCATTGATTCTGTATACATGTCATGGACTTGGGGGAAACCAGGTGAGCACCGCATTAAACATCTTCCCTTCTCAGTAGTACTTACAACACAAGTGACTTGTCACATATTTTTCAGAAGTCCTAAATGAGTTTTACATTCAGGTAAATGGGTGTGTGAAATGTTTTTAGATTAAGTTTGACAATTTATATTAAAGTTGTAGGGTGCCTTATTTTGTTTTCACTCTGGCTGTAAAAACAGTTTGAAGTTGCTTACCTACTCAGTAGAAAGGCAAATGAGAAAGTAATAGAATAATGCCTTTTGAAATAAAAAAAAAATGAGATCTTTTATGTGGAATTTTGATATTGTGTGACTATTGGCATGGTGATGTTGCAAAATTATATTACATAAAAGGCTGTATTTAACTGGATTCAATGGCAAATTACATCATGTTAATACCAAAAGAATAGCATTATAAGTTATTTCAGTGGTTCATAGTAAATGTTCTGAAAAACAGATATGTTCACAATTCTCTGTGATTGATGACATCTCTGCCTGTTACATCTCTGCCTGTTACCACTTTTTGACTATTTTTATTGATTTAGATTCAAATGTCACTATTTGGCCTACTATGGGTAGAGAGCATATTAAAATATTATTTTGAGTTTTTTACCTTTCTTTCCTGGCCTTTTACAAGTGAATTCCTGGAATGATTAGACTCTCTTTTATTTATTAATTCAGCAAATTCATGGAGGGACCCCTGCATGTCAGATACTCTACTGGGTTTAAGAAATTTCAATTCTGATTCCTTCAGGAAACCTGTATTTCAAAACCAGTGGTTACAGCCAGGATGATGAGGTCTGGGATAAAGTGTTCAGAGTGCTCTGCGGGTGTGAAGAAGGGCATCTGAATTAGACTAGGTGTCCATACATTTCTGGGGGGAAAGATGACATTAGAAACCATGTTTGGAAAGGTACACAGGAGTTAGTGAGGTGGCTAGTGGACATGAGAATGGAGCAAGAAGACTGTGAAGAAAGGTGTACGAAGGAGAAGAACTGGTATGTCCTCCTACCCAGGGGAATTGTAGGTATTTTGATATAGAGTCCAAGATGTATATGGAGGATTTTCACAATATTAAATACCATGTTGTATTTTAACAGGGTGGGGCTTTGATGATGTCAGTTTTAAGAAAAAAGGACTCCACTCTAAGGGTCCATGTATACCCTGGTCCATGTTCTTCCATGCTTTTTCCTATCCATTAGCCCCATCATAATCATTTCCAATCCGTATTCATCCAAACCAATCAATCAACTAAGGACAGATGATTCAGCCAGAGCTAGTGAACAAAATGTATTGCTGAAAGGTTAAGTGTAATTCTGAAATGGGATAGAGATACACACACTGTGTGTGTGTGTGTGTGTGTGTGTGTGTGTATACATATATATGTATGTATATATGTGTGTATGTATATATGCATACTTTAAAAATTTCCTTTCTGTCTATATATTAGAAGGAAAAATAATTTATAAATATTTGCATTCTTTCAGAAATAACACTGGACTATGCTAATAAAAGGTTTTGAGCAATGAGAAATATTTTCTCAGTAGTAAAAATCTTATCACTACATGTAAAGTCTTATTCATTTCTCTCAGGCTTTTTCTAGCATTACATTTATTTTTATCATAAAAGTTGAAGATATATTTATACATTGCTTTATCTTTACACATTGTTCTTATCATTGCCATAAAGATGTTTTCACAGTTTTGTCTCTGGAGAAATAATTCACCTATTCTCCCAGCAATATTTGTATAGAGTATAATGTAACTTGCACTGTTACAGCACTGAAAAAGACAAAGTCTCTGATGTGGTGGGCCTAGAAGGGAAGGAAAAAAGTAACTATGTAAGTTTGGGTATGAAGAAAAATGAAGCAGGTTAGGGGGAAAATGTGTCTGTGTGTTGGGGAGTAATTTTCAAGGTTCAGGAAGACCTGTTTGAGAACATAACCCTTAGAGTGGAGTCCTGAAGCAGTTGGGAGAGGAATCCAGGAGAGTGTCCTGGCAAAGGGAGTGCAAGGCCAGAGGCCCAGGGGCGGGGATGCAGAGCATGCAAAAGCCAGTGTGACTGGAGCCAGAGTGGCCCAGGAAGAGAAGAGTGGGAAGTGAGGTCAGCGACACCAGAAAGGGTCCTGCCCTATAGGCTTTGCAGGCCTCGTGAAAGAACCAGGATTTATTTCTGTGACAGAAGCCCTCTTAGGGCTTTAAGCAAGAGAATAATAATTTCTGGTTTATATTAAAAAAATGACTCTGGCTTCTGTCACCTTAATATAGCCATAGATTTTATTTTGATTTATTTCCTTTAAATTTATTTTCAATCAAGCCTTGCATTTAAACTACTTCATGAATTTTAGTTTTGAGTGCTAAACATTTTTGAGATATTATTTAACTTAACCAGTTCCTCATGTTCTTTTGTACTGTTTTGACCAGATAATGACATTTTTATAACATAAATCTTCATTGTAACCGTATTTGTATATGATGAATAAAAATAGTTTGATAATGTGACTAAATTGACAAAGAAACTGTGCACTGCAGTCTAAGTCATTATGGCTTTTTTTTTAAATATTCTTTTTTCTAATTTTTTTAAAAAGATTTTTAAAAATTTATTTTTAGAGAGGGAAGGGAGGGAGAGAGAGAGAGAGAGAGAGAAACATCAATGTGTGTTTGCTGGGGGCTGTGGCATGCAACCCAGGCATGTGCTCTGACTGGGAATCGAACCTGCAACATTTTGGTTCGCAGCCCACGCTCAATCCACTAAGCTACGCCAGCCAGGGCTAGTCATTATGGCTTTTTAACACAATGTATTGCTTTTTTCACTTCTAAGCTATGTTTACTCAGTGTTCTCAGCTAGCTAATAATGTACTCTTTATTTTACCTAAATATCTTCAACAATTTTATATTCCATATAACATCCTTTTTAATGATATTTTAAAAAATAATATGAGTAAAGTAAAATACAAGACAGCTTTTCTTATCATCTTTGAAATCATATTTTTCTTAAAAATGTGTAGCCAGAGTGCTGTTTTCATGACCTAAACCTGTTTTCTTTCAATATTTTCATCTGAAGAGCTATGAGTTATAAAAATGGCCGACATTGTATTTGTGGAAGCAGATAAATTAAGCATGAGACTGAGACCAAGGGAACCCAAGATTAATTCAGCTAGTGTTTGTAGGGTGTCTACTGTAATACACATAATGAGCTTCAAAAAGTCTCTGCCTAGGACATAGTAAGGGCTCAATAAATATTAGTGTTAAGACTAATTGTTTTATTACTGAAAATCAATTATATTCAGTTATTTAACTTTGATATGTCAACATCATGAAATCTTTGATTTGTGATGAATGTCAGTACTAGTTACATTGTCTGACTTTGGTGTGTGGTGAAGCCAGCTAGCTACACTCACAATTCCTCAACAACAGTAAAAGTTGTCCCTAGTGGACAAAAGTTGTCCCTGGGGGCCCTGGAAAGGGTGTAATGTGGAGCAGCAGAACAAATTCTGGGAAAACTAAAACAAGAAGGTAATATTTGAATTGGCCCCTTGAAGAATAAAATGTAGCCAGACCGAAGGATCCAGAAGGATATTCCAGGTAGAACACAATAAAGCAAAGTCTCAGGGTTATAGATACACATGTTCTGCATGGTGGAATTGTGTGAAAGGAGCATAGGATGTAATTGGGGCGATAGTTGATAAAAGATTGAAAATGGAAGTTTTGTGTACCAATTAAGGAGTGTAGACTTAATCTTAGTAACAGAGTGACTCACTTTATCAGGGGATGTCGGGGATCAAATAAATGTCATAAAAGACGAAGAGGGAATTCAAACAGAGTGAGTTTCCCTTTACTCAAGCAGCAGAGAGAACTGAAGTATAGGAGCAGAAGTTGGAAATAACTGGAGGTATTGCAGTAGAGACTCAGAGTACCTGAACAACAGAAGTGAGGATATGGAAGTAAAGATGGGTGGGATGGTTACATCTGAGAGGAAAATTCAGTAGGACCAAGGGACTAATTAATCAAACATACAGGGAGAAAGAAACATCAATAATAGTAGTAATAGCTTAAATATATTGAATGCCTACCACGAACCAGTTATTGTTGTGATTTGCATGTATTCACACAATTCTCTTTATAACCCTGGCAGGAGTGTTCAACCCATAGGCAGTGGGCCACATACAGCTCAGGATGGCTATGAATGTGACTACACAAAATCGTATATCTACTTAAAAACCTTTTTTTTTTTTGCTCATCAGTTTTCATTAGTGTTTCTGTATTTAATGTGTAGCCCAAGGCAATATGGCCCAGGGACGCTAAAAGGTTGGACACCCCTGCAAGGAGTATGAGCTATTAAATTAGCCATTTTACAGGCAAGGAAACTGAGGCATGGAGATTACCCCCCCTCTTTTTTTTCTAATCCTCACCTGAGGATATGTTTATTGATTTTAGAGAGAGAGGAGGGGAGAGAGAGAGAAACATTGATCGGTTGCCTCCCATACGCATCCCCACCGGGGACTGAACCCGCAACCTAGGTATGTTCCCTGACCAGGAATTGAACCCATGACCTATGGAATGACACTGCAACCACCTGAACCACCCAGCCAGGGCAAGATTAGTCCTTTTAAATGTTCCTATTTAAATATAAATGTCAGGAATTGAGATGAATAAGAGAGAAGGAACATTTGTGGAGAAGGAGACAGTTACTATGCTTGCTAGAGCTTTCTAAGCTCTTTTCTATGGAGTACCTGTCCCAGCCTCTATCCCACCTAACTTATAATTTCTGATATTGGAAGATAATAACTTTGTAATTAAGTATCTATCTTTTGGTAATAAGCTGGAAAAAGTTTATAGTATCTTCTATGATAAAAACTCAGCTTATGTTTCTGATACCAATTTTTATTATATTATTTTGTTGAAGTAGACATGACTGCATTATTCAGTAAGTTGCCGCTTTTTTTTATTGGACTGTTATTTTGCAACTGAACATATAGGGTGCTTTTGTCAGTAATAGCATTCTTTCTTTCACAGTACTTTGAGTATTCTGCTCAACATGAAATTCGACATAACATCCAGAAGGAATTATGTCTCCATGCTGCTCAAGGTCTTGTTCAACTGAATGCATGTACCTACAAAGGTCGCAAGACAGTTGCCACTGGAGAGCAGATATGGGAGATCCGAAAGGTACCTCAGTGCAATGAATTCACCCCTTTATGTAATTACTATTTTGAACAGAGCTAATTGCTTACCTGGGAAAAGGCATGAAACACTTTTTATTAATGTTAGCCATCAAAATTTCTCAGCTTCTGTTAACTTTGTTATTGTTTGTCTACGCATGTGATAAAAGAGCATATATCTATGAACTAAAACCTCTTAGAAACAAAGTAATTGGAAAGTTGCTTAGTTAAAGCATGGTTTATGCAGATCAACACTTCTGTGAATTAGTAATAACTGTTGCCCATATTTGTGTTTTTACGTTTCTTATAATGCTTCTTGTAGTAGACATTTCTTTTCTTGGCAGAGAGAAAAGAAAATCATTATTTTTTTCTTACCTGAAGTGCTTAACTTTTTCCTTCCCTGTTTTAGTGCTTTTGTGAACCTAGAACTGAGAAAATATATAAAAGTTCTTTTCTCTTTTTAAAAATATATTTTAAGGCTTAGCTGGAACCTAGTAATTCTTACCTGAAAATTGTTTTGTATAATGCAAGCACACTATAAAACTGACTTTTATGACTTACTCTTTTTAAAAGTTTGTTACTTTTGGATGCATGGATGTGTGTTTTATGTACACACATATACACACATGGATGTGTGTTTTATATATACACATATGTATATAAAAATGACATGTTGTTTAAAAATTGGATTGAGACCTTGCTCTGTACAGCTCTCTTTGTTTATATAATACCTTATGTAGTGGAATAAATGGTGTTGTTCACACCAGAAATGTACAAGATTTCATCAGACATAGTTGATCTTAGAATGATAACCTGTTAAGGATGGTATATATTTGGTGTACAGGTTCCCCTTTAGCTTCAATGAGACCATAAAGTAATTTTCATATTTATCAGTTAACTATAAGTTTTGAAACTTAATGTCTGTTGTCTTTCCTTTTATTCTAGGATCAACTTCTATATAACCCATTCTTAAAAATGTGCCTTTCAGCAAATGGAGAGCATCCAAGCTTGGTGTCATGCAATCCATCAGATCCTCTCCAAAAATGGATTTTTAGCCAAAATGATTAAGTGTTCCTTAAAATTAAGGAGTTGAAAAAGGAGATATTTTTTCTCATAAAACTGTGACTAGGCATACACTGTAGTTTTGAAAATTATGCAAAAGCAGCTAATTGTAACTTATTCCAAGTGCATTTTTCTTATTTATATCTTACAATGTCTCTGTAGCATCACTACAGAAATCCTTTGTCTCCATTTCAAAGCACAGTGATTAATAATACCAAAGACTAGTTTAAAATGTCCAGATGTAGAGAAAGAGATGTTTACAGTATGATGAAAATAATTTTCTAAGTAAAGTGCTGTTTATGTGTTTTGCACACTTGAGGATATGCATAGGTGCATCCACACACTCACAACTTAAAATATTACTTCTAGTTTTGGGGGGGGAAGGGAGAAAGATTTGATACTGTATTTTTTTAACTACATAGAAATGGATCAATGAAGGTCAAACATTGGCTTTTGTATACAAACCAGGAAATTTTTATAGATCTAAAATTTATTACGTGAAAATGCAGGTAAACTTTTTTTGCCTTTTCTTTACCTATTTGTCAACATGGAATTAAATGAATATAAAAAAGACTATTTTTAACACTATAATTTCTTGGAAAATTTTAAATTGTTTTTTAGTCTGAAGACCACTTGACTTGAAGCACTTAAGTCTTTCTTAAAAGGCTTTCCTTAAGTAACAATACTGTGTTTTCCCAAAGAAATTTAAAATATGTTATAACTTACTATCTGTTGAAAGATGTATTTTTCCTTTCTGCTAGTCTTTTTTCTTACCAAAATTTATTAATCTTGAATGTTTGTGAAATTGAATTTTAAATGCAGACCACTTGACTCATTTAAAACTAAATTTTATTTGTTACTGATTTAATTCAATGTGTTACTGTTCAGTTAACAGATTGTCTTTGTAATGACTTTTACTTTTACCAAAAAAACCTAATTTCTCTCTATGTGGAAAACACAATAAAACAAATCCTTATAATTGTAATCATTGGATTTAAGTGTTTTTCTCTTTTGGATAAAACATATCATTGATAATAGGTGGGGGATCCACGCATTTTGTATCCTGAATTTCTAAGCACTTACTGTAGAGCCATCGGATATTTCTTAGAAAAAATTCAAACATTTGAGACCATGGCATAAAAAATGGGGAATGGAGAGGATTCCATGTTAGATGTTTAGAAAATTTTCTACTAATTTCTGATAAATTTCCTTGAACGTCTGGTAGGGTCAATTTTTTTAAAAATTGTGATGCTTATTTAAGAGATTTAGCACTTTTTTCTTTTTGGCCATTTTATATATAGATCTCTTATATTCTTATTTCATAAGTAAAATATGTTTGGCTTCATGTTTTAAACCGAGCAGAACTCAGGTGTCCAAAGAAAATGTTTAAATTATTGGTCCCATCTTCTCATTATTTGTAACTTTGAAGTTATATCTTTAAAACCCTACATTCTTTCATTTATTACAATGCCAACTTTTATTTCAATTCAAGTACCATTTATTGTGTGTCTAACTTTGTGACAAGTTATGGTGGTCACAGTAAGACATTGCCTTTGAGCTTAGGACTTATGGAACAGAAAGAAAGACAAATAATTTTGAAATAGTATAATGAATGACATTATGATGTTATATTTCATGATGTAGATGACTGCTCATTATACATATTTGATATTTCTTTAATAAGTAAAGATTTTTCTTTAGTACTATAGCATACTAATATGTATTGTGAAATATATACTAGTACCCACTTCCATGTACAACTTCTGTATCTCAGTTTGTTACTCTAGAGCAGTGATTTGTAACCAGTGTGCCGCAAGAATTTTTAAAACATCCAGTACCTGACTATTTAATCAGGGCACTGACCTCTCTTCCCTGAGGTTGTCAAATAAAAAAAAATGACAACAGCCAACACAGTAGCCATCTGGTGTGAATGAATCAAAATTAAACCTATTTTTGTCAGATCAGCAGAAAAATATATTTTTTGATGTACTGCAGAATTTTTGTAATTCATTTATGTGTGCCATGAGATGAAAAAAGTTGAACATTGCTGGTCTATAGTGAACATCCATGAGGAAATATTGCTTTTAGAATTTATTATATCTCACAGTAAAAAACAAAATAAAATAAAACAAATCTCAGATATTTTACAAGTGAACATAAGTAAAACATATGAAAAAAAACCCTGAGTGCCCTCTGTGTATTAGTCACATGTTGTCACGTCGAAAGCCAAACAAAATCTGTTTAGATTAATTAGGTTGATTATACTATGACTGTGTTAAATGCATTCAAAAGGAGAGTTCTTCTTCCTGCATTTAGGAGGCTGAGACTGTTGCTCAAGTGTCTGAAGGGATTTGTCTTTCGGGTCAGGTAGTATCTTTTGAATGTCTGAGTTTTGAAACAGTGCTAAGAGGAAGTTATTTATGAAGCCTGGCTGACATCCACTTGAGATATTTGAATGTACTCAAGTGTGAAATTGTGGAACTCTTGCTCAGTTTGAAACTACCATGGCAAATGCTGCAGAAGACCTGACATGACTTTTTTCTAGAGGACCAAGTCCCAAGAACTCTAGATTGATAACCTATACTGCCAAGCCCACTGGGTCAACCCAGTGAGTATGCTCATTGAAAACTGGCATGTGACCACACGATTTAACTAGATACTTTGAAAGTCATAAAAATATCCACGCAAAAGGTAGGGGAACTGCTACTTCTGAGAAAACAAGGTTGAATACTTTGGGAAAACTAGAAGAATATTAAATTATTTTTTTAAATGAGGCTAAATTATATGGGGATGAAAATCATAAAAGAGAGGAAAAGCAAAACAGAAAAAAATCTAAGAAGATTCTGTGCTCAAATTGCTTCACAATAGGCTTTAAAGAGAGTAAAGCAAAGTACTTTTAGGTGGTGCATTTTTAGTGTGGTTTGTGCAGGAAAGATGTTGCACAATTCCCATAAGCCAATTCATACTCAAATAAAAGGCCTTAACCCTACAATGGAATAATTGTGAAAGGATTAATATACATACAAATGTAGGAGAGTGTGTGTATTTTTTAAACTGTTTTATCTATATCTTCATTTTTATGACGCTTTATTTTAAATACCCTTTTTAAATCATCATTGAACTATGAACCCAATTGTGTTAAAGAGGAGTGTTATACTCCACACATAAAATAAGTGTTGCTCTCTAATCTTCAACTCTAGTTTTCAACAATATTTAGGAGATACCCTTCTGTTTCTGTGATTGTAGTAGGCATCAGAAGCTAACGATAGACAAAATGGCTTCTGTCTTCAAGAATTTTACAGTCTAGGCTATGTGCTCATCAATGAAGTATCATAATGACACTATTTTGAAGAGAAACAGTCCATGGTGGAGTCGGCACCTTCAGCCTCTGGTGAGTCCATTGCCAGGAGATAGAGGAGAAAACAGAGGAGCCCCATGACTATAGCAGTGCTTCTCAGACTTTGTTGTGCATATCTGGGGAACCTTATTAAAATGCAGGTTCTGATTTATTAAGTCTGGGGTAGAATCTATGATTCTGTATTCCTAATAAGTTCTTACATGATGCCAAGATTGCTGGTCCTAGAACAATACTTTGAGTAGAAAGACTGCCCATTGAACCAATGGGCTCTTAGAGACTGTATGACAATTTCCATCATGCTTCACATCTCTGATTACTTCCAGAACCACAAGGCAGTATTTTCTATTATCTGTTATTGAATAATATTATGGTTCCCTGGTAACTCCTACATCCTTTGTATATCCCTAATTTGGTAAATTCCTCTACTGCACCCCTACTCACCTACTCTGCCAGCTTCTACTCCTGTTCTTTGATCAGAAAATTTCCTTATATCAGTAACCTGGTCTCTGAAGTCCTATTCATCATCTTGTTTTAACTGAAACTAGACATCTATGGATACCCCTTTTCATTCCACTGAGGATTATTGTTTTTTGTGTCCTAGCATTTCACTTGCACTGTAAAGTGAAGATTTGGAATATGTGTGTTCATCAAAAGTGCCCCATGAAGCCCATGCCATATAGATTCATTATCCATCCCTTCTTGCTGCTATCTGCTATAAAGCTATAGACAATTTCTTTCAATTAATTCCCTTCATTCATTGAATGTTTTCATTCTTATTTGGCTTTCTTTCTTTATATCCCTACCTCGGTCATCTTCATGTATGACTTCGACATCCACACAGATGACTCCAGCATCCTGGGATGTCATTACTTGACAACTACATTTTCTTCCCTCAGCCACATACTTGCTTGTCATCATAGTAACCACCTCTTGTCAGACAGCTAAGTCACTCATAAACTCTACCATCTCCTGTCCTTCTAGCTCATTTATACTGGTTATTCCTCTTAAGAAAATAAATAAATAAATAAATAAATAAATAAATAAATAAACTTTCCCCACCTCTTTGAGGCCTCTGAACAATTGATCTTGTTCCTTACTATCTCCTTTAATCCACACTTGTCTCCTGATCCAGAATGGTTTTAATATTCCACCATTATAAAATGTTTCTACCACTCTCAGTTTGCCTGTCTTTTTCTCTATCATGCTTACCTGAAAATCTTCAGACCCTGAATAAACCAAAATATTTGAAGAATGTTTGTATTCTCTACTCCTGCTCGTAAACAGTTGTCCTGGATGACATCTGCATCATGGTTCTGAAGACATCTATTTACCCACCCCCACCCCCCCACCACACCCATGCAGAGTCTCCAGTCCTGTGGATTCTAGGTCTTGCCTCTTCCTTGTTCACTTTCTATTTTTGGAGTATACCATGCAATAACTTTGGGGGAAAGGTTCAGGGTTTATACATTTTTTGAGATTTTTATATCTAAAAATACCTTTCTTCTATTCTCACAGCTAATAGGTTAGCCAAATATAGATTTCTTGGTTGGAAATCATTTTTAGTGTTTTGGAGAAGTCATTCTGTTTTCTTCTAAATTCCAGTGCCAAAGAGTTCAATGCAAAATTCTTGATCTTTTGTTAGTAGTTGTACTTTTTTCTTCTCTGGAAACAAATATCCTGTTTGTCCCAGTGTTCTGAAGCTTCACAGTATTATTACTGAATATTTTGCTGTGTTGTAAATACATGTCTTTCAATTCTGAGAAATTTTTCAAATATTTATTAATTTTATTTCATACTTTCAATTTCTTCCTAGAATTGATATTATGTCAGACCCCTTATATATTGCTATTCAAATATATTTGGAAGGGCACTTTTCTCACCTACATTCTGCCTCTTTGCCTATCCTATTTTCTAGGAGATATTCTTTTCTTTTAATATTTTATTTATTTATTTTTAGAGAGAGGGGAAGGGAAGGAGAAAGAGGGAGAGAAGCATCAGTGTGTGGGTTGCCTCTCGGGTGCCCCCCACTGGGGACCTGGCCTGCTACCCAGGCATGTGCCCTGACTGGGAACCGAACCTTGACCCTTTGGTTGGCAGGACCATGCTCAACCCACTGAGCCACACCAGCCAGTTCCTCTAGGAGATATTCTTCTAAGAGGCATTATAAGATGTATTTTTCTAAGACTTCTATTGAGTTTTTTTTAATTTCTGTCATTTATAATTTCCAAGAGCACATTCACTGAATGCTTCTTGTATAGCATTCTGTTAATTTATGAGTGCAATATTTCTTTTATCTTTTTAAGGATATTAATGGTAGTTTTAAATTAAGCTTTCATCTACTTGTATAGACTCCTATTTGTTTTACTCTGCATTTCATAATGGATACTTTCCTCTAATGTCTGGTGATTCTTAATTGTCTTCAATAGGAGCACTGAAAGCTTATTGGAGAGCTATAGTGTGGGAAGGGCTTGTTGACTGTGGTCTTTCCTGCAGGGTGACCTGACTGGGGCCCTGGTACTGGGACACAAAATGACTGCTTAGATCCCTGGTGAAGAATCTTCTAGTCACCTTCTTTGAGGGTGTAAACCTCTTTGCTATCAGGAAAGAAGGGCTGGGGATGTGTTTTC